GTTAACAATTTTGATTTGTGGATGGAATACATTGTTCAATTCTGATATAATTTCTGATTTGCATGGGACTCAAAACATACATTCAGTATTCCAAGAAAAGCATCTAGGCATCTAGTTTTTCATAACTCAGCTTTTTTTTTCACTAACAAGGATTCGCCTACATGGTTATTAAGAGGTAGTAGCTGTGATTACATTTATCATTCTTCAAGGAACATGAACAAGATCTGGTGAATCTTGGAGATACATACATATGGTGTTTGCAGCTTCCTACTACATGGAACTGTTTTAATATTTCATAAGATAATAAAACAAATTTTGTTGTAAGTGCTACGGGAAATTATACATCAACCTATCTTTACAAAAATCAAAAGAATGACGGTAAAATTTAAAAAATATCCAACCCATATAATCTCCCATTCCTACTTCACAAATAAAGCAGGTTTAACTGTTGATGAAAGTAAACACTATTCTGACAACTAACAAAGTACAAAAGCTTTGCATAGAAAAAGAATTAACAGCCTTCCAAAGCCCATTTCTGAGCCCCAATGATGGAGATATAACAAGCGTTTTTGGACAGAGAAAAACAGAGAATTAGTCCACAGCTGAGAGTGAGGTAGTTTATCATGAATAGAGTATTACAAATGCTACTACATATGATTCTGGAGAGAAAAGTGATGGAATTTCTTTAAATAATATGCATAAATTGAGAAAAAAAAATTGAATTAAAATTTGCAATATGACATATTTAAGCAGGACTGAAGCCTTCTAAGAGATGCCAGATGCCACTTATATCTGTAAATAAAGCTTCCGAGTTTGGAATCAAAGTACCAATGAAAAAACAAAAGAAAAAAGCATGAAAATTCAAACCCTGTAATAAGAAACCATAGAAAATTTATGTAATTTCTTAAATGAAAATGTGAAGATGAAGTCTCACTGTTACATATTTTTTTGAGGAGGTACAGTACCAACACCACATTTAAAATGACTACAAATTGTAAATGATTTGACACTGTCCAAACTTTAGAATTCTTAGGTCAGAAAACTAATAAAAGTAATATCTTCCTATATTTCCAATTGCTGAAATACCAGTGAATCCAAAATCTATTACTTATAATGAAAAACGATAAACTTCTATACAAAAAGAGAAAAAAAGAGAAAAGTATTAAACTTTGACGTAGGTACGAGAACAGAAAATCATATATATATCTATAAAAAAAAAAACATTCTTCAGCCTAAAATATCTATATCATCCTCTTCCTCCTCCTCTTCCTTTTTTTTGGGTGTGTTGCACGGCTCGTTTGCAGATGCAGATAAGGTGACCACCTCCTCTCTCTCAAACAGCCCGCTTCTCCTCTCCTTCATTAGCTGACGGTATTCTTTTCTGGATCTGGTTCGTAGCTGCAACAGTTCTGTGGTATTGCACTTCTGCCGGATCATGAAAAGAGTATTTTAATAATTTTATTTTAGTGATGTGATGTTTTGGGATGTTTATGTATGCATTTGTGTTGGAAGGTGAGAGTGAACAAAAGACATTCTAAGTTAGAAGGACTGCTATCTAATACCAATAACTTCATACTGTTGACCTAAAAATGGATGAGAAAGGGGGAATACCTAAGCAAGAAATAAAAGAGGCAAGCAACTTACCCTTTCAGAGCTCTTGCTAAGCTGCTTCGGTGGCGACAGTTTGACCTTAGAACCCTTAGCAAGTGACGACCAGCACTTGCCCACCAGAGGTCTGGCTTGCGGGGTCTTCACAGGGGACTTCTTGGTGGACAGAGACTTGCTTCCCAAGTCCCAGCCTTGCTTACGCCCCTCTCTGCCCAGTGGCAATTTTGCCTTCTCCTTGGCGAAGTTGTGCCACTTCTCCTCCTTCAATAGTTTTTTGTTTTTCTTTGCTGTTGATTTCTTTTTCTACAAGTGAAAGTGTGAATGACGATTATGCTTTCTGGTTGATCAGTCTAGAATTTCCATTACTATTCTGACAGTATTTTAACAACAAAATCGTAATATCAAAGCCCACAACTTTCAAGAACACTACATAATTCCTACCACACAAACTCCTGCCTCACCTTACTACTGCTCACTTCCAGGTTGGGATCAGAGTCTGTTGGACAGTCCAGCCCACGCAGGAAACGTCGGAGAGTTTCAAGCTTCTTGTCGTCAAGGTTGATGGTCCACTCCATGTCACCATAGCTCAGTGGGGCAGAAGGCAATGAACCTGGCTCTAACAGGACCATCAGGTCTAGTCTTTCTCTCACCCCCAAGCACTGAGACAAGACCATTTCTAAGCCTTCTCCTACTGCCCTCTGCTCACTGTCACTCAACTCACTCCTGTTAAAAAATGCAATCATTACAAAAAATTACTTTCATTTTATCACTGAAGGGAATATTACTAACACATCAATTTGTTTCAACTCTCAAAAAAATCAAAATAAGTAAGTCCTCACCATTTAACATTGCTGTCCAATATATTGACAACCTTCTTGCTCGGTGAAAAGCTGTTCTCTTTGGTGTACATCTTGGCCGGACGTGAAGCCTCTGAAGTTAGACTAATGGGCACAGGCGGGCTGACACCCGAGGCAGTCATCTGATGCAACTGGGGCGACAGGGGACTCCTCCGACTCTTCTTGCTCTTTTTGGGACTCGACCCCTCACGACTCGAGGAGTCTCTGTTCCCATCATCTTCCCTGGGTAATCTCCTGCTATTTGTCTGTACTGAGGAATTTCCTCCATCCTCTACCTTTGAAATTAAGGGCTGCTGAATTACCTCAGCTCCAGGCGAGGGTAATCTCTGACACAAGGATCTTGACTCGCCAGCTGGCTTCAGGGGCGAAGAGGTGGACAATGGAAGCGTATTCACCAGAGGCTCTTCCTCCAACATGGTCATGGAATGGTCAGGTGAACGAGGGATGGAGTATGACGTGATGGTGGATGATGATGAGGATATGTCCGATGCAAATGAAATGTTGCTTGCACTGTCCTGCAGAAAGCTGAAATCATTGTCCTCAAAGGGCTGGTTGTCAGCCAAAGAGAGCAAGTCAGCATCTTCTGAAAATACAGAAAATCATCTGAAATTAAGGTTCTTTCATCTTATTTTTGTTGGCTTTCATTTTTGAAATTATGAAAAAGAAGAAGTGGGAGGAGGGAGAAATGGAGGATAAGGAAGAGGAAGAGAAAGAAAGAAGATAAATAAAGATTCAAAGAAAACGATTAAAAGTGAATATATCTTATCCCACAAATCATTTCTCAGTAATATGTCACCTTTCTTCTGAGCAAACTAATTCCACTTACCCCCAAAGTAATCGCCCAAGTTGGCCTGGAAGAGGTTGGCATCGAGGTGCTGGGCGTCATCCCACAAGAAGAGGTTGTCATCTGCGAGGCCTCCATACGGACTGAAAGACGAACTGCTGCTGCTGCCACTGCCCGACATCCCACTCTCGACTCCAGACGAGCTCTCCCAACTGCAAGCAATTTGCAGGATTTAGAAATTTACTTAGGAGGATTTTATAGATTTAGAATTTATTTAGGAGGATTTTGTAGATTTAGGATTCTATTTCATAGGATTTAGGGTTTGTAGGACTTTTTGTATGATTTAGGATTATTCAGGGTTTATAGGATTTTTGTACAGCTTAATAGGATAAAGGGATTGCAGGATTTTCATAGGATTTCATATACAGTTAATGACATGGTCTTCTTCTCATGAAATCAGTGTATCCTTTCAATGATGTTTTAGCTGGAATATTATGAATATGACTATACTCCATTAATAATAGGCTTCTCCTAAGTACAAATTCAACCCCTTTCAAGCATGGCATCCAACACACAATGTCAACAGCAAAATCACACAATCCAATCTCTGGACATGTTTTATATTGTTCCTATCACACTGCACAAAATAGAACTGTCTCTATTATACACCATGATGCAAAAAAAAAAGGACACTGCATTTCTTCTGCTTACTATAATAATCCATAATCAGATGCTATTACAACCCCATCACAACCATCCCAATCACTTCTTCACTCGAGAATATTTTCAAACACCACCTTTCCCTTCATCATATGTCACAATACCTTTGCAATCACTCATCCAAGCCACTTCACACACACAACTCCCAAGGAACAAAATTTACAGAACAGACAGCTAGCAAACTCTTACCCACCAGCACCTCACACCAAACACAAAAATAACGAGGAATGCAATCCTATGCTGTCCCTTAAACAGGGGTACTTAACGCAATACACAAAAACAACAAAGAACGACAATCACACACCACCGTCTCTTACCCTGTTTCAAACATGTCTGAGGTATTCATGGTACCCAGGTGGAGCTCGGGCGACAGTGGAGGGTCGTTGTCCACCCCCATGTCCATGAAGCTTAGCCGGGAAACCATCTGTAACAAAGAAAATCCATGATAAAGAAGTAATCTAGGAATGAAAAGTGAAAAAATGAAAAATCTGAATGAGAGTCCGGATTAAAAAAAGGAAAGAAAGTGTAAAAATGAAAAACACGAGCCAAACTTCGTAACAAAAAAGTGAAAGAAAATGTAGAAATGAAAACTCCGGGCCAAGCTTCATAATAACAAAGTGAAAAAATGGGAAAGAATGAAAAAATTGAGGCATTTTTCAGATTAAAATTCAATTAAAGAAAGCAGAAAAATAATTAAAATGAAAACAATTGATAAACATGTAAACTTTTTGTTCACTTGCCACTGCCATATGATCTGCACCGCTGTCAGTGTTGCCGAAATCTCTATTAAGTTTTTTAAAGATCGCTGCACAAATGAAGCATATCTTCCTAACCCCTTACCGGGGGCATGCCCCCGGACCCCTTCCCTAGGGTATTTCCCTACCGGAGGCAAGCCCCCAGACCCCCTTCCCTGAGGTATTTCCCTACCGGAGGCAAGCCCCCAGACCCCCTTCCCTGAGGCATTTCCCTACCGGGGGCAAGCTTCCGCACCGCGTTCCCAAAAAAATCTTAGCTTACTTTAAAAAGACGGAGGGTATAAGTCAGCAGCCGGCGTACAATGTCACTGTCACTTGTTTGCACCAAGGTCGCTAGGGTCAAAATGTCCAGTGGACTCTCAAAGAGGGTGTCGAGTCAGTAACGATAGGTTCATGACATTAATGGACGAATAATTTAAGATATCGTAAATTATTGTTTATCTTAAATCATTTAAATATATGTAGATAAATATTATGAACAAATCAAATACAAGAAACATAAGAATTCTATTATCAAATGTTTTTTAAATAGGATAGAAAATTACTGGGGATACACAGTGACATCTATGAACTTTTGAGAAAGCTCACAGTATTGTTTACATTCAATACGGTTCGAGATAACGAAGTTTAATCCATTAACGCCTGTATATTTTGAAGCCGAAAATAAAAGATTCCAGGTGGCTACAAAATCGGCAGCCAGGGCTGCCCCAGATTCTGCACACCCGCCGGCCGCAGCCCGCTGCTGCATTGAAGCATGAGCCCCAATACAGCATCACACTGGCACAACGCCCGGCAATGTTTTGGGTGTCTCATGTGTGGACACCCGTCGTTAGTGGGTTAAGGACTCTCTCGGAGAGGCAACACTTGAATTTCAATTAAAGCACAACCTGTGACTTCCCCACAATTTTATTAACTTCACCAACATGTATGAACACTAATCAATAATACTATTATGCTTTCCTCGGAATATGTAGTGCAGACACCTTAATTAGTATTGCCTGTAAAAGTAATACCAATAAAAACAAACATTAACTATAATAATAATAACAATAACAACAACAATAATAATAATAACAATACAATACCAATACAATAATAAAAATGATGATGATGATGACAACAAAAACAACTGTAACAACTGTAACTAATAATAATATAACAATAATAAATAATAACAATAATAACAATAATAACAACAATAACAACAATAACAAAATAATAATAATAATAATAATAATAATAATAATAATAATAATAATAATAATAATAAATAATATAATAATAATAATAATAATAATAATAATAATAATAATAGCTAAGACAAAACAACTATCAACAATAATAAAAACAATGATAAATTGCCGCGAACGAGACAGAGCTTTGTTGAGTAGGCCTAGGATATATTATGCCCACAAATCAACTGGGACTAAGAGACTTACATCCACTCTTTAATTTGCACTTATTTTCTTTTTCTTTTCTTTATTTAGAAACGAGGTCTGGAAGCAGTTTAGAAGTTTACCATATTATTTTTTCCTAATATCTGTCTGGTTCCCTCTTGGGTATATATTACTAAGGGGCTGGCGTACCATGATCATTGTGGCCTCCACGCCTTTGAAGCTCTTACAAGGGCCAATAAAACTCCATCATATGCATTTGATTCATTTTGAAAAAAAAAAAAAATCACAAGGTCTATAGGCTCTATCTTGTAAGAATACATGTAATGAGGGTTTAACGCCCTTTGCCTCGAACGCAAATATTCACAGTGGCCACAACAATGGGTATGTAAGTTCACGGCAGACAGATGAACTGGTTAATAAAATATACGGTTCTTTCTTTAAATGGTTGAAATCAGAGCAAATTTAATTCCAAATACTCTAGGATCATCACATGCCATTCCTTTGTCAATGGCCTCATCTGAACAGACCTTGCATCAGCTCCTATAACAATATAAAATCAAACATTTGTGAAACCAACGCTTGGGTAATCAAATAACCCTCTAATTCATGTGGTGCGTCACTGTGTAATTACTTAAACTCAAGACCAGCTGCATTCATGAAGCACTCAACTTTACTTCTAAGTAACTTTTGATTTCCTAATAACAAATAAACAATGATAGTTATAAGGCGGTAGCTCCTTGAGTATAAATCAGTCCCTGGGCAAAACTACATTTATTCAGTCACATGGTGTTTTAGGAGGAAAATATCCCCAGTGCAGATGCAATGCTCTGTAGTCTGGCACAAGATGATGCAATAAAAGAAGCTCTGCAGAGTCTCTACCACAAAAGCTATACAAAAACTAATAATAAATGGTGAATTACAATATCAACAACAATGATAGGACCCTAACAATATTTAATTAATATTGCAATCATGTCACATTATAATGTAATACCAATATTACCCGCAGTAAGTGAACTGGGTATTACATCAGATTAATATAAAATAATAAAAGAAGAAGCACAACACCACAGTAATGCCGTAGTGTAATAGCAGCCACAATAACAACCAACTATAGTTAGAAAGCATAATAACAACCCTTTACTCATGTGCCTCGAAGACGGCAAAGATGGGAATAGACACCTTTTATACTTGAATTAAAGCTCTCACCTCCATATTTAAAACTCCTACAATATCAGCACTTCCCACTCGTCAATCACACCGACTGGGACCCGCCTCTTGGCATCGTGGACGGAGAAAAAGCGAGAAAAGTGGAAGTCTGTCTCACTCCGGACTTCTTGAGGTTCATCAGCTGACACTACAACAACGTGGAGAGAGCTAGTCCGCACCCACTCCCCATGCGCGCCGAGTACATTCATTGTCCAATTTTGTATGGGAATAGTTCTCATTTTGGGGAATCTCATTGTATTTATTTTACTTATCTAGCTTTTTATTATTATTCAATTGGCAATGTCTATCAATAAACGTCTAGTTATCTATATCTACCTTTGAAGATATAATGGTGACGAAGTTCCTTGTCCAATTTTAGAGTAGAATTTGTAAAAGCTGGACTATTTTTGTTATTTTTTATCTATCTGTTTGTCGATATATATCAAAGGGAAGAAACACAGAGATTTGACAAAAAAGAAAATAAATTTCTCCGTTTTACGCCGTGAATGAGAGTGGGTGTGGAATAGTGTCAAGAGCAACGTGGTGGCGGCGAGGTTTCCACAGCCTTATTTTCCTTCTTTTCCTCCCTTCTGACCCACGGAGACGAAGGTAAAGAATCCCAGACACACCTTCCTTTAATAATCACTTCTTACTCTAATTCTAAGCAGTCTATTTCTCTGCATTTGCGTGCATGGTCGGGTCTTAGTGAGTTTTCAGTGGAAAATTGACCTCTATCGAGCAGACGACGCAGATGATGTATATACGCATTAATGTTATTTCCATTTGCGTTAATTAAAGCCGATTGGGAATGTAAAGTGTGGTGTGGATTAATTCATAGGAAATAATACTGTATATTAGTATTACTAATTTTACTAAATAAAGAGCTAGTAGGCAATAGTGATAGACCAAATGACACATTACTATTCAAGAATATTTTACTTTTTCAGATATCATCAATTACTGTTCTTAGATTTCAGAAAAAGATATGCAAAGTTATTCTACGGATTGAAGAATACATAATATTGTAGCGTCTTATATGTGTCACCAATTTATTTTATTTATTTATTTTTTAAATTCAAAGATCTGTCAAAATTCGACTCGATTGTCACAGAGCATTTGTGAAGATTATTTTTTTTATTATTCATCAGCAATAGACCAGTAATATGCCAGTACTTTTTAGTTACAGGACGCAGGTGTCAATAAATTAATTGTATTTGTTTATGTGTATATTAGGAGACTGCGAGAATCTGTACTTTTTATCGTAATAATTATCATCGTTACTACTATCATCACCTGAGATTTTTTTCATTATTTGCTCTTATTTGTTACTGAATAAAGAATCAATAATTGTGCATTACGGAAACAGGAAGAAATTCCCGCAGAATGATTCACAAAAGGGAACAAAATATTTCCGTGTTGCAATCGGTATGTCATAGGAATTCATAAGAAGGATCTCGTTTTTTTATGAATTTCCTGATTTATAGATTTGGAGAATATTTTTGATATATGCATCGGTGAACGATTTTTGAAAGTAATTAATTCATTAGTAATTGTTCCATCGATCTGTTGATATTTTTAATGTTTTTTTTCGATCATCATCTTCATCTTCATCTTCATCTCACACATCATCATCATCATCACCATATCATCATCATCAGCATCATCATCATAATCATAATCATAATCATAATCTTCATCATCATCATCATCATATCCAAACAATCTTCATCATCATCATTATCATAATAATCTTCATCAACATCATTATCATCATCATCAATCATCATCATCATCATCATCATCATCATCATCATCATCATCATCATCATCATCATCATCATCATCATCACCGTCATCATTGTGAGTACATGTACGTTTGTATTTATGTTTATATGTGTATATATACATATATGCACACACACACATACACACACACACACACACACACACACACACACACACACACACACACACACACACAACACACACACACACACACACACATATATATTATATATTATATATATATGTAGAGAGAGAGACAGAGACAGAGACAGAGAGACAGAGACAGAGACAGAGACAGAGACAGAGACAGAGACAGAGACAGAGACAGACAGACAGACAGAGACAGACAGAGACAGATCATTTAGCAATTCGCTTTAGCATTTCATTCTAGCACAACAATACCCGAGCCCAAAGTACCATGTTTGTTCATTAAGTGACGCCGAAGCTCGCGAGACCCCGCCAGGCACGTGGCTCCTGCGACGCGTGTGGCCAAGCGGGAATGAACAGGAATTCAGGCTGAGACGAGACTTCAATGGCGGCCGTTCTGAGTATCTGTTGGCTGGTTCTTTTTGATTCTGTTTTCGTCTGTCTGTTTTGTTTTCTCCTCTTCTCCTCCTCTCTCTCTTTCTCTCCTCTCTCTTCGTCTGCTCTTCTCCTGTCTCCTCTGTGCTCTCTCTCTCTTCTTCTCTCCTCTCTTCTCGTGCGTCTCTCTCTGTCCTGTGCCCTCTTCTCTGTCTCTGGTCCCTCCTCTCTCTCTCTTGCTCCTTCTTCCTCTCTTTGTCCTTGCTGTCTCTGCTCTCTCTCTCTCTGTCTCCTCTGTGCTTGTCTTTCTCTCAGTCCTCTTCTCTCTCTCTAACTCTCTCTCAGTCTCCAGCTCTCTTTCAGTCTCCAGTCTCCTGCTCTCTCCTCAGTCTCATCGTTCTTCTCTCAGGTCTCTCAGTCTCTACTCGTCTCTCATGTCTTTCTGCTCTTCCTGTCTCTTGCTCTTCCGTTGCTCTCTGTTCCTCTCTGTGCCTCCTGTCTCTGTCTCTGTCCTTGGCGCTTCTGGGCTTTGCGTTCCTCGTTCCTTGCTGCTTTCTCTCTCTTGTTTTCATCTCTGTCTCTCTCTTTCTCTGTTGCTCTCTCTCTCTTCGTTTTCTTCCTAGTCTTGTCTCTCTTCTCTTCTCCTTCCTTCTCTTGTCTTCCTTCTCTCTTCTTTCCTCTTCCTGTCTTTCTCTTCTCTCTTTGTCCTTCTTCTCCTTTTCTCTTCTGCTCTGCCTTCTCCTGTGCTCTCCTCTTTCTCTCTCCCTTTCCTCTGTCTCTGCTCTCTCTCTTCTCTCTCCTTCTTCTTCTCTTCTTCTTCTCTCTCTCTCTCTTCTTCTCTCTCATTCTCCTCTCTTATATCATTACTCTAGTATTGCTCTACTATGTATTACTTCATACTATTCTTACTTATTCTTATATCTTCTTTCTCTGTGCTCTCTATATATGTGACTATTATTGGTTGCTGTGTCTGTCTGTGTTTTCGTGCTGTGGGTGTGTTTTTGCTCTGTTTGGCTGTGTATGTGTTGGCTCGTCTGCTTACTTTTCTGGTGCTGTTTCGTGTGTTGTTTCGTGGTTGCTCTGTGTCTCTGCGTCTGTGCTTTGTCTCTGTTGGGTGTCTCGTTGCTGGTTCTTGTCGTTGTGTGTGTGTGTCGTTAACTGGCTGTCTGCTATGCTCTGCGCTCGGCCGTCTGCCTCTCTTCTCTCTCTCTCTCCTCCTCTCTCTCTCTCTCTCTCTCTCTCTCTCTCTCTCTCTCTTCTCTCTCTCTCTCTCTCTCTCTCTCTACTCCTCTCTCTCTGACATATGTAAGCTGTGTGGTATCTATAGTGACCTCGGTGACGTATATATTATTAACTGTAGTCTCCCTCTCTCACGTACTATTCACGCTCTACTCTTATTCCTATCCTATTCTTCTCCATCGCTTCAACTCGCCCCATTCCTCTCCCCTACTGTTCGCACTATTTTCGTTATACCCTTTTTATAATTCTCTTGTAATTCTTCGTCGAGTGCCTCGATATACTCTCACTCAGGTGTCACGCGGAAAATTATCCTAGAGGAATTAGTCAATTGTAATTTTATGGTGTTTAGGTATGAGATGCAATTTAGATATAATGATGGTTAACGAACGTATATATTAATGTCGAGGGGAAACTGTCTCTGTGGTCCCGGGTCTACCCGGGTTGTGCATGCCATGCCCAGGACTAGACTGAGCTGGAGACACAGTGCCTGACAACCGTGCAGATTATATGAGGCTAGGGACTTTGCAGACACGTTGAACTCTGCCCAATCATTTTCATATCGCAAGGCGTGTTTACTCCTGTAAAACCTATTAATGTTACTTGACTGACTGAAAAGGAGAAAGGAGTTGAATAAGAAAAGAAGTGAACCAGGGTGAGAGACCCAATAGTTGAGCATGACATTTGAGAATAAGTTGTTTATGGGCTACTCTTAGTGGGAATTAGCCGCAGAGGTAAGATCATTTCTTTTTATTTATCTTATATTACTGTAATATTATAGCAAAAGCTTTCTTACGTGACGATCTCTATCGATTCTCGAGAAATACCCAGTTAACATTTATCACGCCTTAATTTAAGAGTTTTGATGTTATTGAGTTCTCTGCTGAGAAAGCCCCCATAAACAATCTCTTCGAACTCTGCAGAACAACTATTAACATGTATTTTTTTTCACATATAACTCAAGTTGCCCTGTATTTTGACAAATTGTTGTTACGCAAAAGAGTGTCCGATACAAGGTACACCGGGCCAATATAATGACTCGAGCTATTACATCTATATAGTAGTCATTAATCTTAGATAATTACTGACTCCTTTCACATTCGTTCACTTCTTCCTACTTTCCTTGTAACTCACATCCTCCAAGTCCTCCACTCTCTAGGTACTCAACTCCACCTTTTTCATATCGACTATTCTATCCAATCCTTACATATTGGCCCTTCAACTTCTTATTGTGTATCATCGATATACCATGTTCTCTTCCCTCTTTCTCTGTCATCGTCTCCTCTTCTCTCCTTCATCTACATCCTTATTTTCTCCATAACTTCCTAGTTACTTCCTTTATGCCTCTTCTAGTGTCTTCATTCTGCGCTTACCTCTACTCGCCCTCTCCTCGGAGACCAACTCTCTTCGTCTTCATCTTTGCAACCTGCCGCATTCTCTCACTCGTGAGATTCTTTCCCCTCATCTTCTCCCTACTATACAAGATATCTCTTCCAGTGTGCTCGCGCCGCCACGTGTGCTCAAGAACCCTCTCGGCTGCAGAGACTCTCCGACATCTCGGTCCACTGACTCTGCAACTCTTCACTCACTCACTCTATTCTATACTCTTTCTCCTTTGCTGCAACCA